GTGTGTGTGTGTGTGTGTGTGTGTGTGTGTGTGTGTGTGTGTGTGTGTGTGTGTGTGTGTGTAAAACTGCAGACTTTTTTGCCGTAGTTGAGTACAAAGTGGTTATTCCAGGATACACTTAGCGGCAAAAGTAATGCGAATTCACATCACACAAAGAGAAACAGGTTTGAGGTGTCTCAAATAGCACAAAACAATGCTTGAGAGTTGGAGATTTGCTAGGGGACAGACTTTGTTATTCGGCATCAATGACCTTGACCTTGGGGCCAGGCGCGGTTTGTCCGCAGAGCACGGTCGTGCAGTGCCGCCCAAAATGTTTTAATGTTCTATTACGTAAATCACCCACAATAGTAAAATAAAAGACGCCAGAAACAAACACTAGCCAAATAGTATATCAAAACAAAGTCCTCTATAGCGCCGTAAAACATCTACTATGCCATGTCAAAGTTCACGAGCTGTATCTAAACATAACAGGATATTAAACAGTGGAAACCTGACCTCTATAAATCGCTCTTTGGGATAACCCAAGCGACGACGACACTTGCAGAGAGTTTGGCGGTACATTAATATTAATAAGACGGCACATCACAAATGTGCTCCTGCAGAATAGTGCCGAAACATAGCCGACAGTAGGCAATCTAAAAATAAACGCGATAGACTCTGCACTATTCTATGCCAAAATTATGTGAGCCCCGGAGCAATCTTGCGGAGTGCTCAAGTGAATTGTGGTTGGTTCATTGTCTTTATACTTAAGTCACCATCCTATGAGTTGTGCTTTTGAACGGTTTTGTAGTGGAGTGGTGAAATGTATTACTTGAGGTTTCAGTTCTAATGCAGGATGAATGAAATTGACGTTTAGCTAACGAACAGATTTAGTTCTAGAAGTCAAAGCCAAAAGTAAAAAGAAAGAAAATAAAAGCGTAAGGTCTTCCTTCACCAACCCAAAGATCCTGAAATTATACACCATCCCATTTACTATGCTCTTGACTATCTTCAGCCTAAGATAGCTTAATTGTGCACGTCCACTTTTTAGACCCGTGAGCCGCCCCTGCTTGGGGCTTAGGTTCCACTCAGTATCTGGTATGGCCCCCGTTAGCCTTGATGACAGCAGTGCATCGGTGGTGGATAGAGTGGACCAAGCGATTGATTTGGCTGTTGGGGACCTGCACCCACTCCTGAAGAATAGCAGCACTCAGTTGTGCAGCTGTCCGGGGTCTGGGCTGGAGTTGGTTGAGACGCCACTAAAGGATGTCCCAAAGGTGTTCTATTGGGTTCATATCTGGTGATCGGGGTGGGTGAGGCATGGTGGGTATGTTGTTCTGCACCAGGAACTGCTGGGTAGAACGTGCTGTATGAGGCCGGGCGTTATTCTGCTGAAATAAGTGGTTTTGATATCTCTGGAAAAATGGAGCAACATGGGGCTGCAGGACTTGGTTGATGTAGCGCTGTGACGTCACTCCGTTGTCACGTCCAGGTCCTAAATTTTGGAAGATTATGGGGCCAGGTCTTTGACTGATACCGAATGGGCCCCATATCATCACGTTTTGATCTCTCCACGGGTCTCTCTCTCCCAGATGTTCTCGCCAGAGTAGCGTTGTCCGGGGCTGCGCCAAATTCGGACCCATCTATTACCAGGGTCGCTGCAGAAACGACTCTCGTCGTTGAAGACATGCTGTCACTGTCGATGACGTCAGTTAATGTGGTTCTGAGCCCACTGGAGACGAGCTCGTCGCTGATGGACGTTCAGGAGTGCTCTCTGCTCCGGACGCCGACAACGTAGCCCCCTGGCTACAAGTCGGCGGCGTATAGTGCGGTCACTAACGGCTATAACGTGCGTTCCTAAGGTGTTCTGGGCTGTCTCGGAGGAAGACAACCGTGGATCTCGGCGATGCTGACGTACGACTAAGCGGTCTTGGGCAGCTGTTGTCAGTCGAGGTCTTCCGCTTCTTTGGAGATCTCTCGTGGGGTTGGTTGCCTGGAATCTGTTTTGCAGGCGGTAGATAGTGTTGGCATGCACTCCCAGGACTGTTGCCACCTGCTGAGAGCTCTCGCCGGCTTGCAGAGGCCCAGTTGCTCTTTCTCGATTTTCCGCAGATAATCTTGGCATCTTGATAGTCGTACTAAGTAACATTCAATCAAACATTTTAGGGCTGAGAATTTATAGGCCAGACCAACTTAACATGTGAGAAAAAATTCACGATTTATTTCACGTTTTAACTGCGCACCATTGAGAGGGCTGCTTTGTTGTATTGTTTGATGCATAAGCGGCTAATGAGCATGTTATGTTTTTTAAATCGAGCCAATCCAATAACAAGAACACATTGTAAATAGATACAAATGAAAACAACCCTAAAAATTCTCAGTTTTGTTTTCTACACGTCTTTTTACTTTTTCG